GTTGACGTCAAAATCAAACATTAAGCAGATTAAAGCAAATACTTGGTCCCATGTTGCTTTATAGTTTATTATGTTGCAGATGAACTCATTTGTGCATCCTTACACTGGTTCTTCGTTCTCAGTCTTCATGTATGTCAGGTGTGGGAAAGGCCCGCTCCACATATCCTGATTTTTAAAGTACTGTTGATGTCATGACTGACATCAACAAGTTAACCCAAAAGGAGGGGTGTTTTTTTTTTTCATAGGAATGTTTCCTTTTGTTTTTCAGGACACAAAGTGATTTCTTGAATATTTTCATTCCATACAGAGCCATCAGAAAAATAGCTTTATGTGATTCTCACATGGAGGTGTGTTGAGTTACCTAGTTCATCTGCTTTTTGGTTTTTGTTAATTAAGTTAATTTGGGGGAGGTTTGTTCAGTTTCACATATAATGGTGGTCACTGTAAATATATCGCTCATCTCTGGGAACCGGAAATGTCTGCTGAGTCTGCTTCCTTGACCCTTGAGTCAGACTATTTGACATGAGGATATAGCGCCTGCTACATCTATAGCTGCTACATCTATAGCTGCTACATCTATAGCTTCTGTAATATCTGTATGAATATTAGTTTCATTCACAACTGTAAACTGTGGTTTAAAAAAAAAGAAGAAGAAGAAGAAGAAGCCAGGCAAAGCCTTCCCCGTCAACTCATGTAACATATCCCCATCTTCATGAAGAACCACACTGACAAGTTAAAGGCATAAAAATATGGCGATATGTGTGAGGAGGAGTACTCATAGTGACAGCATGAAGAAGAGCAACTAGTGTAAATGACAACTTAATCCAATAACCTAATTACTCTGACACTGAGCTGAAATAAGAGTAGTGCAAATAAATGAGGCTTAAAAAGTAATTATGGCTACTTTGGTCCATACTTTGGTTTGGTTGTCATGTATACTTTTACTCATAAATACCAATTTAGCATATTTGTAAGCTTAGATGTATTACTTTCATTTTACAAAGTCAGGAAAACCATGTTTAAGCCAGGCTTGGTGTTACTTTGCCAAAGTTTTCCTGCATATTGAGAAGAAGTTTACCCTCCAACAAAGAGGTTTTATCCTTTAACCTTTCATCAGTTTTATGTAAGAGCACCTTTGTTTACTGAAGCTTAAAAGAAAAAAAAGACAGGAATACAGGCTTTTTAAACAAATCGTGCTGTCGTAACCCCCTAAAAGTAATTTTCCATCAGCTAAAATAATCATTCCCGGCTTCATCCTTTGTTTACAGTATTAGAAGAGAACTGAAGTCAAGGTATTGCATCAGAGAAAGTATGACTTTTTCCTCAAAAGCTAGTTCTTAGACAAGAAAAGCCCTGGATTAGAGTTGATGTCCTCGTACTTAGCCTGCCAAGGTGTTCTGGTTTCCATAAAAAATTCCTATCATCACATCCTATTGTATTAATATATTAAAATACAGGAACTGACAAGAGTACAAAGAATTGCCCTTTCTTGTCATTTACAGACGTGTGCCCAGCAACACAGGCTCAAGGACTGTTTACAAAAGCAGAAAGTAATTATAAATGCACTGTAGGTCAGAGGAGGAAACACTGCCGATCTAATCATATCACAACAAAAAGAGATTTGGAATTTCACTATAAGCTATTCGAAATCAGTAACTCTAACAGTGGGAAAAAGGAGGGCACACAGTTAAAGCCGCCTGGTCACAGCTCACTTTGTTTAGTCAACATCTTCAACAACCTGCAGTCTCTCAGCTACCTGAAACCCCCATTCAGCTCATCTGTACACAGTCGAAAAAGCATGGATTTTATATCAGCCCACAGCAAGTCTTCCTTTAAGACATAATTCCCAGGGAATTATTGATCTTCAAGTAGAGCTCTATTCCTTCTTCTGTAATGTTGATACTAATAAAAGCTTGTATCCAATCTTCTTCCCCAGCTATTTGTGTTAAAAGCCTCACTAAGTCCCAGCATCATAATTTCAGACAGTTTTAAAACACTGTTGTGTGGGAAAGTTTGCAACAACACTAATTACAGCAAGCAATCATTGAGAGGAGAACAAATTCAACACAATGAGGCGCTGCATAAACAAAGAAACCCAGTAATTACTAAATCTGCACTTCATGTGGCGTGATGGGCCCTCACGAAGACTAAACACAACACATGTTTTTACGCTCCTGACAGCTCCCGCTATCTTGCCATTGTTCCCTTGTCTTTTAAAGTTTCTCTCATATTATTATTCCTTCAAGGAGACAGTTTGTGCAGCATAAAACAAACAATAGAGGGCCACGACCTTTAGTTTAAAGAGCTCAAGGGCAACGTTCACAGCAGCACAACTGAGAAGTATCAGAGAAAACAAAAACAATATGGCCTTTTAAAACTAATATACACTCATACCTCCAGCTCAGCCTTCCTGATTCAAACAAGTCTGACTAGAAACAAACAAGGTGTGGTCCCACGAGAAGACACATTACATGACCAAATGCGCACCGCACTAAGGTAAACCTCCCTATCAAAACAGTGCTTTCTCTTCTAGTGCCTGGGGTGATTTTAACTGGCAGCACATACGGTGCCTCAAGGCCGCCAGTGTCTCATACACACAGTTTGTTTCATAATAATCACATAAAAAGCTGAAAAATGTAATTACATTAAATGAGCACATAAGTATTTACAAGCCTGAATTAGCAAAACCTTTTATGTAGCTTGACTAGTTTTGGATTTTGGGAGTTTTGTAGGTGTAACAGGTGTTTTCCCACATGCAGCCTTTAACTAGGATGAATAAAATCAACAACATGCAAACTACAGGCAACTGTGGCAATCTGCAAATGACCAAAAGAGGGTTCATTGCACCACCCTTACTGGCAGGGACAGCCAGCAACCACTCGTCAACCACGGGGTCGGGTAACATTTTCCCAGGCGTGATTGCCAACTGGTCTCTAGGCCTGTGTGACTGATGGTTCAAGCACCCTACTGACACCTTTATTTAAAGGTTTCAACATATACAATACAGGACAGAAATAACAAAACAAACACAGATTTGTTAACCAAGCAAAATACTGGTCATCACACCCCAACCCTAAACATCGAGAGAAAGAGAAGAAAATAAAAACATAGAATGCGGGACATGTCTTAGCGTCAGGAGAGCTCTTTTATGCTGACAAAGCACTCCTCTAGAAATTAGGGAAGCTCGCCATGTGCTTAGAAAAATCACTTGACAAATTATCAATGCAAATAGGCTGTGCAGCCTCTCACTGACAAAGCTGCTCAGGTACGGGTTTGACCTTGCTTTGTATGTTTAAGCAGAAGAAATTTCAATACAGCATCCTGCAGAGTTGTGGGGGTTTGAAGGCCGGAGCTTGCCCTACTGATTGCTTTGTTTGCTCTTTACTATGTTATCTTGTTCCAAGCATTTGGCCTTTTGTTTACAGATGGCTGAGCTGCGAACCTAAAATAGAGGGAATGTTGTTGTTTTTTTTACCTCATTATTAAAATAAGTGCACTTAGGGTTTTTTGGCAGCATAAATCCTTCTTAATATAGATGTAAATTTTTTTGTGTTTTACAGATTTTAATTTTAATCAAAGTGTGGCCTCACAGCACACCGGGCAACAGTACTGTAAATGTGCGTCTGAGTCGAGCCAATTTCCACTGCAGACAGCGTCACGGGGGGAATGCCATTCATTTTAAGAATTCACATATGTTGCTGCTCTGTCCCAGGGGCAGGTCAGGCAGTACTTGAGTGAATGTTAACTGCTCTCTCCTACTTTCTGTTGTCATTGGGTCATAAAATCTGCCACTGTCCCCAAAGACTTCATGTTTGCTTGTTGTTAAGCAAAACCTTTTCTGAGCTCCTGCTGGTGTTATTCATTCTGGTTGACAGCAGCAAACCAATCCTAAAACAAACTCACCGCCTGTGGAGCAGGCCTAGACTTTCAGGTCGCCTGTGATACTGCACGTTTAGGAGCTTTTCCTGGTCATTTCTAGCTTTAGAAAAGACCAGAAAGCCACAAAGGAAAAACACATTCCACATCATGTGGACCCAAAGTGTGGGTGGAAACAAATAACAAGGTTTTATTCCTTATAAAAATCACTTTAATAACTGACTAATAACTAATATAATTTTAGCCTACTGATGTCCACATTACAATTTAAGGGCTAAAGCAAATATACATCCACACAAAGTGTAACAACCAACCAAAACTCACAGATTTAATATACTACATAGACTAACAGAAATAATTGATGCCAATGTGAATGTTTTATTGTTTTCTTATAGTTCGCTGGGGGGGACAAAAAAACTAAGGTGTATTTTGGGTAAAATTTAAAGGCTCTTATTGCCATGAGGGTCCACTTTTAGCACGTGATCATCTTCCAGCCATGATTCCTTTTGTGTTAAAATAGCTCTTCACTCAACATGCTTAGGTTATTGTACATACAAATTTTGAGGAGATCGGGTGAAAGACACCCACTGATTCTTCATAGAAATGACAACTTTAAGTAGTTCCTAGAAAAGCAATCATGTCACTAAGACTAAAATAATGCACAGCAATTAGCCAGCCCTCCATTTCTAAACAGATAAGATAGAAAGAAACCAGATTAGTCTTGAAGAGACCGATGAGGAGGACATGCTGAAAGTCCACGATAAGGAAACTGTTGATTTATAATCTCCACTGAAGCTGAAGTCTGGACAGGAAATGGGTCTGGATACACTACAGGAGGCACTTTGTTGTGTCTAAACCCACCCAACCTGTCATGACCGATGCAGAAGTCGATAAAAAAAAAAAAAAAAAAGGGAAGTGAGACTTTTTAAAGTGCAAAATAAAAATAACCTACTCTTTATTTCCCAATCATACACCTGTGTGGAGTAGGTGTGACAAAGTTGGATATCTGCGTTCAAAGTAAACAATAAGACACACATGCTTTGGCACAACTCAAACCCCGACATAAAGCCACGCACACTAATTGTATCATGTTTCCATTGATTGTTAGGTTAGTTAGAGCCTACCGTATACAGAGTGCTGTGGACAGTCCGGGACAGTTGCTCTGCTCTGTTGTGGAAAAATCTGAGGAGGAAAATCAGGATGCCTCGGGAATGTTTTTTTTTTTCTTCTTTTTAAATTGTCTTATCCACAAACTCGTAACTTTAGCCACGGCTGAGCTGACAAAACTGCATGTTCAAGTCTTGCTCAAGCTGTCTCGTTACTCTTCCTGTCGCTGAAAGCGCGTTTGTTGCTTTGCGAGGAGCTGGACGGGAGCTGCTCGTATTTCATTAGAGAGGCGGAAAGCTGGCGAGAAAAACTGACGTTACATCCGGTAATATGTTTCAAAATAAGACTGTTTACTAGGAATGAATGCCACAAAATTTTCATTCAAACATTTTCAGGCAAAGAAATTTTTAAAAAAAAAAACTGAATGAAAAAATAAATAAATAAAAGCGAACAAGCAACAAAGTGCAACTATATTAAAAGAATATATCTTGATTAATTGAAAAATGTTCAAAAAGAGTCCTTCAATAGTCCTGGGAGGTGTTTATTTGATTTGAGGGGTTATTTATTTATTTAATTATTTATATTTGACCCGCAACAATGCTATTAGCTCTTGAGGTTTTAAAATACATAGACTGATTATTCTTTTTTCATTTCAAATTATCATTTTGTGCATTGAACCTAAGTAGAAATTGCTTGGGGTCTAGTAGATTTTTTATTTTACATTTTCTTCTTAATTTAATGCTAATTTAAATTATATGTTTATATTTAAATTATATATTTATATATTATTATCCGAGATTCACCTACCTTGTGGTTTTAATAAAATAGCAGTAAGTTAAAAATGTTTGTTTTATAAGTTTCTTTGGATGGAAAGCATTTATAGAGGACTGCGGTTAAACAATAGTAATAATGATCATAATAACCTACATCATTTTGCCATTAATCTGTAAAAGTTTGCCATTAGAGCAAGAGGTTTCTCCAGTATTCTGCATATTGCACAGAAATTGTAAAAGCAAACATAAAGTGGCAACAGGATGTTAATTTTAGAAGTCATAGCAGGACCAAAACGCGCACACTCTTAGCTTACAGTTTCTTTCGTACATCAAACAAACACTAAGGCATATTATATGATCAGAGCGGGCAAAATAACAGAAACAACATGCTTTTACTTTGAAGCCCACTTGATAGCTTCCCGCTGTGAGGTGCTTTAGGTACATGAACTGCGATAAACTAATCCCTTAACAATTACCCAAAGCTTAGCTTGATAAAACCTTAAACAAAGTCTTTACAACAAAAAATAACGATTTATGTCATGGGAGATTGACCCCCAATTGACCCCATAAGCCAGGTAAATTCACACAATGATATTATATAAACACAGGTATGTCTGCACAACACCTGTACACAGACACACTTTTATCCAGCAAGCTCAGTGTCACTTTCAGATGCCCCTAAATACAGAAAAACATATCTCTAAAAGCTATTTCCAGCAGTCTGAAATATTTAACAGTGCATGTTTACCACATTAAAACACCACACTGTTTAATTACAGCCTATCAATCGGCAGATGGTACCGCTCTGATTGGGTTGTAAAGCGATCATAGTCCCACAGTACAGTTTTGTGATGAAGATAACGTACCCTAGATTCAAAGCCTGCTCCAGCACAACCAGTTCTTTGCTCTGTATTCTAAATATGTAGAACGAGGTCACACCTAACGAACCTCAACCCTCTCAGACAAGCTTTTATGCTCCAGAGGAGTGAAAGAAGGCTATATATGCACAGTCCCACAGAGGGTTCAGATCAAAAACAGCATCGAAACTCTCGTTCTTTTGGTTATTTTTAGAGCTGAAGGCTGACTGATATGTTAGTCCAAAGTTAAATATAAGTCCACACAGAGAGAGTGATATATAGACATATAGATAGTCTCATAATAACATAAAATATGAACAGAAAAACTGTAAATAATCAAATCGTCCAGTCTGAATGCATGGTTGGAATAACCTGTTGTGTTTTACTGTTATAATATAACTTGAAATAATACATTTTTGAGCCATCTTAGTTCTGTCTGTACAAAATGTTATGGCAATTCAAACCAAGATGCACATAGCTTCCAGTTCTAAAAATAGATGCCAAGGCACATGTACACCTGTGTTCTTTCCACTGACCACAAGGGACCGACTCCTCTGATCTGACCATTAACCATGTGTGACAATCATGGTGACAATGTAGGATCAAGGGATAAAACTCCAGTCACAGGTTTAGCGACCAGCCAGAGACCATCTGGCATGGTCTCTGGCTGAAAAAGAAAGAAGAAGAAGAAACCAGTTGGGAGTACTTCCTGGAGTTTGATGGCAGTCACTGTGAAAATGATTGTCGGTCACTGGTCTGTGACAACCACCTGTCGCTTGGAAAAAAATATGTATTCTCCCTGCCAGCTGTCAAAAACTTCCCTGTAATTGCTTTGGTTGTTAGCTTGTGGTGTGTTGTGCTGTGGTCATAGTTTGAATGAAAGTAACAGACAAGGATGCCTTGAAATCACAGTTAAACAACTCCTAAGCGGCAGGAGCCCTGGGGCAGACAAGGTTCACCCTGAGTTCCTGAAGGCTCTGGATCCTATAGGGTTGCTATAAACCATTTTATCCTTATACAACCGTTGCAGGAGCTTGGTCCGCATAGCTGGCAATAAGTCCGACTCATTCCCAGTGGGAGTTGAACTCCGCCAGGGCTGCCCTTTATCACCGATTCTGTTCATAATTTTTATGGACAGAATTTCTAGGTACAGTCCAGTGGTGGAAGGCTTCCAACTGGATGGTCTCAGAAACTGTCTCAGCTTTTTGTAGATGATGTGGTTATGTTGGCTTCATCAGGTGGTGGCCTCCAGCTCGCACTGGAGCGGTTCGCAGCCGAGTGTGAAATGGTGGGAAGGAAACATCTTTGGAAACATCTTGACTGCAGTGCTATAGTACAACTTTTACTTATTGTTTCTGGTTTTGATCACACTTTTTCAGGTTTTACTGTCACAAACAAGGGTTTGCAGACAAACATGAAAAACTACAGGCAACTGTGGCAATCTGCCAGCAAGGTTTTTAGTGCAGCACCTTCACTTCATCCAGAGAGTGGGAGCAACCTCCAGGAAGCACCGCCAATCAGGTGGGGGATTTTTTTTTTCCCCATAACAGTATTGCATCCAGTTTGCTGGACAACTTTGGGTAAAGTGTGCATGACATCACATGAGAAAATTCAATAGTATGGGAACAGGGCACTTAGTTTCCTTGATTTGTGGCTTCTGTAGAACCTTTCCTTATAGATTAATGGGCTGAATCACTAGTTTCACACTTATCAAATATAGCACGATGGTCATGTTGCAAAGTTTGGTCCTCATTATTGTCTAAAAGAACAATGAAGCAGGGTATACTTTAGGGCAAGTCTAGTTTGTGACTGACAAGTTTCTACTCTATGGAGGTGTAGTGTCCCTCGGTTTTAGAGTCAGGTCTGTGATAGTTCCTTACCTCATAAAACTAAGATGGTAATGATGGTAGCATAAACCTTAAGATGGTAACTAGCTTTTTAACTAGCCGTTTATGGTATGGGCTAACTATGACCGACTAATCACTAGTACAGCCTCCAGAGTTGTCCCACTGTTTTAAAATGCAGCTGCAAAACATGCACACTTGTGGATGTGGATGTCTTGTGGGTTTGCACAGATTTACTTTGTTTATATGAAGCACAAATCTTTAAATTTAAACCACTGAACTCCATTTTGCAGGATTGTACATTTACTCAACTTTTTGACTTCGACTGGTGGGGCTACAGCAATCAGACATAATAGGACTGGAGGGAAAAAAAAAACTGCCCTGCACTTATCTGGTCTCTAGAGAATCTGAGAAGAGTTGTTACAGTAATTGATAATTGTGTGTGGGTTGAATGCTGCGTGCCTGTTGATAATGACTCCCCGAAATCAGTGCGCTCTTCGCCACTCGAGCGTGAGGACACTGTGTTCACATTGCTCTCAGCTCCTGCACGCATGTCCAAGATGCCTATCATTGCTCAGATCAGCAAATTATGCTGTGTTGGCTGATAATGAACCCTCCACATCCCACTGTGAGCTCATTTTATTCATGAACATGCCGGATGGAGGTAATTGGTGAAGAGTAAGTGGTCAGTGACGCTGCAACTCATTTCACTCAAAAATGGCCCCTATATCTCCGCTATTTGAGAGTCCATTTCCTGAATGTCAAACTGCAGTGCTTTCCATTATGATACATTAAGCATGAGCAAAGGAAGCCAGGAAAAACATTTTAAGGTTTTCCCAGGTGCAGTATAAAAGCATTCGTGTACTTGCGTGATATCCCCGTTTGTGCACTTTGCATTTGATTTACATGGTGTACGGTATTTGCAGCAAAATACACAGCAAGACCTCTGCGATTATTCTACGGTGACGTCAGTTTTAGCTCGTGTTTGCACACATAAACAAGTCTGATTAACTGAAAGATAGAAGAATGTAAACTGCCAGTAAAACAAATAAACACTCTCATTTCTAAATCTCCAGCAGGAAGGAAAATAATGAACTAACCAAAATACTGTAAGCACTCATCATAAGGAAAAGAGGTTAGTCAAAGCAAAATGCATGAATGACAAGTAGTACAAGCAATGGGAATGACCTGCTGACGCATAAACCTAAACACAGTGCGTGTTTTATCTTCATCTGCTACGATCATATCATGTAGAGAGGGGGGAAGTAAACCACATGTCATGTGTTTGTACTCTTTGGCCTGCTTACCAGCCCTATGATTCAACAGTAAACCGAAAGATTGTTAATATAAACACCAACAGATGAAGGCCCCAAGCTGTAAGCAAAACGAGCTAAATCAAAATTGAATAATGTGAAACAGACATTTTTATGTCACTGAGTAATACAACTGACAGCAATTTATGCTATTTAGTTGACCAGATTAAGGGAAAATTCTGCTTCTTGGTATTCTTGTTCATTACACTTTGGGGGGTTGGTGGTAACAAACAGCAGCTTGGCCAAATTATTACTTAATTTAAACCAAAGCGTAACTTCAAACTTGACGTGATACACAGACACTTTTAGGCCAAATTTTGGAGGCTGGCACGTAAACTGTGTAAACTGACATGTAAACTGATGTGTAGGCTTCTAAAATTCGAGCATATTTTCCCATGAGAACAACTCCACAACGGGGGCCCCTTGAATCCGGGACCCTCCTGCTAACCACCACATGCTACCCAGAGTACTATATACCTTTGAGATAA